TTAAATAGAGTCAACAATAAATAAAATATATAAAAATATACAGAGTTCCCAACAAGAGTCAATAGTATTCCAGGTTTACTGTAACATCTCAGGTGCATACAAGGCAGTGGCAGTTCCACACTTAGGCAGGTCAGACCAAATCTCTGTGCAGCTGATCCCAACCTAAAAACCTCTGATCTGCAAAGCTCGAGATGCTACCTACAGGTCAGGTAACAGGCTGGCTTATAACAGGGATGGGAAGGAACTGAAAAAAACAAATCCAGCAAGCAAAGTTAAGGTACAAACAGCGTATTGAAGAGATCTTAAAAAAAATAGCAAACCACAATATATGTGCAGATTCATCAGGAGCATAACAGACTGTAAACACAGTAACCAACAGGCCAGTCATCATCCAGCTCTTCCCGACACCTTGAACAGTTTCTTTGCATGCTTTGACTCATCCAGCAGCAAAGAGACTGTACATCTCCCCTGGAGGAGCAGCACCAGTCTTTCGTCCTGCAGCTACACCAGCATAATAAAATGCACCACCAGATTGAGAGACAACTTCTTCCCCAGAGCTGTGACGATCCAATTCAGAAAGCTCAGAAAAATGCTGGGATAAAGCTATATTTTATTAAAAGTAGAACATAGAAAACATTTATTCATTTGTTAAAACTGAAATGGTGGTAGGATGTTGCAATCATATTCTGCCAAAAAAACTTTCAACTTTTGTTTCATCTGACCAAAGAACAGTTTTTCACTTTGTCTCAGTGCGTTGAAAAAGAGCTTTGAGTGAAAGAAGATTGTGGCGGCTCTCGATTATGTTCTTCTCTGCACGGTGTTGCTTTAACCTGCATTAGTGGAGCCCATGTAGTCGGTTCCATGGTTAATTCATTTTCAATCTTGATTTTCGTCCTTGTCCCTGGCACACAGAGATTCCTTCACATTCTTAGAAATGTTTGATGATATTATGTAGACGATGATACGTCTCTGCAATTTTAGGAGGGATATTCTTCTGAAAATTGCAGATGTAACACTAGAAACAATTCATTTTCAGCCTTTTATCGGCTCTCTCAATTTTGTTGAGACATGTCATCAAATTCAATTTTCCTGAAATGGTAGCTCTCACTCAAAATATTGGTTGTGTTTTCTGAGTTTTGTTGTGAGTAAAATAAATAAGGTAAAATAAAATAAAATAAGACAAAGATACATAAAATCACGAGTGTATCACAGGTCATCGGGTTTCTGTGGGTCAGAGAAGAGCCTCTCAGTAATCCAGCGTTAAAGGAATGGATTACTGAAGGCGAAGCTGAGAGGGATTTTTATACAGAATGCCAGATATGTTAGTTTCATTTCACTGTTTGCAGCACAAAACTTTCTCAGCTAATAATAAATCCTGATGGACAAATACCACACTTAGTAGATGAACATCATTTTAAAACTAATCCTTTAAATCTTTTCTTACTTTCAAATTAATTGTTTTTTGTTTGTTTGTTTGTTTTGCTTGTTGCTCAGAATGAAAGTTAAAACTTCATGTTACTGTTTTCTTTCCTTGGTAGGAATTCCAGCAAACAGTCCTGGATAAGCCTCAAAGTTTACACAGCACAGTCCAGAGACTCTGAGCAAATGAACCAGATCTCTAAAGAATGTTACACAGAGGAGTACTGCAAGTTGGATTGCCCTGAAAAAAAAGTTCCCTTTAACACCCTGAATATCACCAGAAGCGGCATCACATGGCACAAGGTAAACAGAGCAGATTATGTGAATGAGATCAAACTGTAAAATATTGTTACAGGGTTTTAATGTTTTTCCAAATTTGACAGCTGACTACTTAAAAATCGAGCTTATATGTTGTAGGAGGGCGAGCCATCTCCAAAAGACGACTACTTCTCTAGTGTGAAAAAAGAGGACAGTGGCATCTATACCTGCACCTGGTCTTACCTGTATGATGGTCAAATATATAACATGACCTCTATGGTGAAACTTGATGTCCAACCAAGCAGTAAGAAAAACACATTTTGCAGATATTTATTTTGAATGATTTTAATACGTGCTTTTCAAAAGGTTTTTTTTTATTTCCACAGAAATAACTAAGAAAGCAGTGATAATTTCACCAGAGAACAAGCAGGTATTTGAGGTAGATTTAGGTGAGTTATTGTCTATATTCATACACCTTCACACTCTTGGCTAAAGCTTAAATGTTAATCGTTTATAACAACCTGTGTTAACTCTGCTTTTTCTAGGTTCAACAGTGGTGATTGATTGTAAAGCAGTTATGATGTCAGAGACTGATGACTTGTTTTGGTTAAGTGGAAGTTCATTTGTGGATACAGACACTAGTCTACCAATTTTCTATAATGATACACGGTAAATATTTCACACACAGGTCCTCTGTGGGTCACACTGATGTTATATGTAGTCACATCAGCTCAGATATGAATTCTGTTTTTAGATCTGCCTCAGTCGTTTCCTTCTTTTCTCAGGGTCATCAGCACAGAGGAAATCAGCAAGACAACATCTCTAATCTTCAGAAAAGTGTCAGAGGACGATCTGTCAAAAAACTATACCTGTAAACTGCAATCTCCATACCAAACAAGCTTTGTCACTATCACTCTAAAACAAAAAGGTATGGCCAGCTGAACGTTTGAGTATTTTTTTAAACAATTTAAAATATAAGTTAAGCATGATTAGGATAGATTGAAAAGGCATCTTTCACGTTATTACAATTAAATAAGAGTTAAGTAGCTGATATTTGATCATTTTAACCTCCCCATTATTTCCCTGCAGCTTCCCGTTCGTACACGTCTCTTGGTGTCTGCTTTCTCATCATTGTTGTGGTGACATTTGTGACTGTAGTTATCTATGTGAAGTTTAAGATTGACATCACTCTTTTCCTAAGAGACACTCTTAAGTGGTCTGGCGGCATTTCAGGTGAGAGAAATGCTTTTTGTTTCTTTTTACCTGACAACACATGTTTAAGCATTTGTGCTTTTTGTGTGGGCTGCAGACAAAGCAACAACAGTGACGGAGTTTATTGTCCTTTGCTCAGATGGAAAATGCTATGATGCCTTTTTAATGTGTTACAAATGCGACACGGCTGGAGGATTAAATCCTAGCGACAAAAGATGGCTGGAGAGTGTTTTGGAAGATAAATTTGGTTACAGTCTCTGTCTTTATGATCGTGACGTCTTACCAGGGAAAGGTATGGATTGAGAAGGATCCTCTGCAGAACATTTACTTACATAAATAAAGATAGGAATTCATGAATTGATTTGCATTCTGAAATCTGGTTGTTTGCAGCAATCGCAGACGCTGTGCTAGACTGCGTAGAGCAGAGCCGGGCGGTAGTTTTGGTTCCCGTCTCTCCAGACCCTGATCCAGAATCTGGCCTGCTGAGTGCGATCCATGAAGCCCTAGTGGAGCGGCAGACTCGCTTGGTTTTCATCACCACTGAGACATCAATGGCTTCAAAATCGGATTCCTTTCCAGAGGCTTTACAGCTTCTTAGTAAGGCTGGGAACTGCGTCACCTGGAAGGGCATAAGCTCCATGCCGACTTCCTCCTCCTTCTGGAAGCAGCTACGATATTACCTTCCTGCACCACAGCAGGCGCCAACAGTAAAGCTTTTACCACACACAATCCAGGATATTACTTCATGATAAAATGTTTAGCCAAGTCAGAATTAATAACTGATATCTGGTCTTAACATATGAGTAAGTTTACACACGTCATCAAGAGCTTATATTTTGAGTTTAAGACAAATTAATATTTATGGGTTTTTTTTTAATTCGGCATTGTTATTTTATTCTATTTAATCAATTTTATTCCTGTTTTTGCAAACATTTCTTCTGTACAGTATGACAATACCAGCAACTGTTTTAGTAAGCTACAGAGAATTTAAATGTATGAAGTTTATGTGTAAAATTGCTTCATCTTGTTGTGTTATTAGGCATCTTTAAATCAGCCTTTAGGCTGTTCCTCCTGATGAGTTCAGTCCAAGTACTGTTTTCATAATGTTTCAGTGAATGTAACTCCTAGTTTTCATCATACCATACTTGAACTTTTCTCATTTATTATTACCAATGCCATATCATCCTACTCTTTGTCCAGTTTTTATCTTCCTCGCTTGTACATACTGCTTGCACTTACTGAAACATAGTGCCTTTTGGCCAAATATGTTCAAAGCACATGTCATCTTATATATTAATAAAATTAAAATAAATGTATTTTTATCCTACCTTATGTATGTTAGGATGCCTGGGTCGTTGACCCAGGGTTTTTGAGTTTATTATATTATTTATAATTTCTAGTCTTTGGGTTTTTGTTAGAGTCATGTCTTATGGTTTGTCTCTGTGTAACCCTTAGTTGCTGTCTCCCCTGTCCGCTATATGGTAAATGGCCTGCATTTGTATAGCTCTTTTCTAGTCCATAGGACCCCAAAGCGCTTTACACTACATTCAGTCATTCACCCATTCACACACACATTCACACACTGGCGATGGCAAGCTACATTGTAGCCACAGCTGCCCTGGGGCGCACTGACAAAGGCGAGGCTGCCGGACACAGGCGCCACCGGGCCCTCTGACCATCCCCGTGTCCAGTCAGTGTCTGTGTCTGCCCTGGTCCCACGTCTCTGTTCCCTCTGTTGTAGTGCCTGCATGTGAGTCTGTGTCTTTTGTTCAGTCTGTGTTATGTGTTTCCTGTTTTACTTTGAAGGTCTCTGTCTTATCTCAGTAAGTTCAGTTTACGCTTCCTTGTCTCGTCAGTTCTGATTTGCCGCAGCTGTGTTTCCCTCCTGTTACCCATTCCCTGATTGCTCCCTCTATGTATTTAAGCCCTGTGTTTCAGTTTGTCATTGTTGCGATCTACTGTCATCTTGCTGTGTTGGTGTATTTTGTATTCTTAGTTTTTGTTACCTTTTTGAGTTCAGCATTAAAGCTGTTTTGAGTTACTTTCTGTCTCCGGAGTCTGCACTTTGGGTCCTTCTCCTGCCTGCACACAGCCGTCACATAACAATGTATGTATAGTCAGTATAATTCCAATAGTGCTGTCAGCGTTAATCTTGTTAAAATGAGGTTAACGCCATAACTGCATTAATGCGGCAATTTTCCGTTAGCGAGTTAGCGCGGCTCACCCCGTGGGTGGGGCTACATGGCACTAATGCATTAACGAGCTAACCACACTAACCTGGTGACGCCCTGCAGCCCCACCCACGAGGCGATCCACGCTAACTCACTAACGGAGATTTGCCGTGTTAATGTGGTTATGGCATTAACGAGATTAACGCTGACAGCACAAAATTCCAATTAAAGGACTGAATAAAAACACACAAAAACCTCTACTGCTCCCCTGTTTCTTTTAATAACACAATAATCTTATTGTCAGGTTGAGGTCTACAAAGGTGGTCATAAAATACTCTGAATACAGCCAGTGTCCATGAATTAGACCATTTTAAATTTTCTTACTGAGAACGTGGCATGTGGAGATTAGGGTAAATACTATCCACAATAAGCATCTAGTTAGATAACATGTTTTTAGGGCTGGGTACAATAACCTCAGTTTTGTCTGAATTTAAAAGCAAGAAATTAAAGGTGATTGAGGTCTTTGTGGGGTGGCTGTAGCTCAGCAGGTCATCTACTGATCAAAAGGTTGGTGGTTTGATTCCTGCATGCCAAGATACTAGCCCCAAGTTGCTCTTTGATGCATCCATTGGAGTATGAATGTGTGTGAATGTTAGATAGAAAGCACTTACGTAGAAAAAAGTGTTTGCACGAATGGGTGAATGACGCAAGTTATATAAAGTGCTTTAAGTGCTCAAATAAAGTAATGGTTTAACTACTGTCAGCCTGAAGACCTGTGGTACAGAATAGAGAATGGCTGATCATATTTAAGATTGAAGCTTTAATTAATGGTAAGACGTCTTTGAGCAGTTTTGTAGGATTGGGGTTTAAAACACACATTGATGGTTTGGAGGAAATAATTACTACAATTGTTGTCGCACATAATGCAAGGATAATTTTAGTTTCGAAGTTTGTACAAGGTTCACAGTAACAGTCAAATTTACAGTCAAATTTCTTGAATGTGTATTTCAGGTAGAAATGTGAAAAAAAAAAGAATTCCCGTTTTAACCACAGATCTTACCTAAATCTCTGTGGCAAGTAGATATTGGCTGCGGCTTGCCTTTTAGCAGCGAACTGTTTCCAGCGCTTTCAAGAATCGATGCACACATAGCAGACAAGTCCTTTTGGATGTGATTCTTGTCATCTAGGTTTTCCCTAAAGCTTCAAGGTTATCCTTATCCCTGACACATATATCTCCACTATGATGCCCAATAAATATGCATGCCACCACACAGCAGATACCATCATAAACTTGTATGTGCATGTAGCAGCGCAACAACAATGAGACTGGATCACACCATTTTGCCGTTTTCAACAGATGATGTGTAGTTCTTAACACATCTGTTCTAAAAGATCATACAGTGGTAATTATATATATAAAATTGTGTTTGGGGTTTGCTTTATTTATGTATTTATTAATTTTTTGCACTAAATCCTGAAAGGGTCCCCTACCTCTGTCAAACAGGGTTTCCCTTAAAACACAAGTAAAATATAAGCCTACAAACAAATGTTGTTCTGCTGTTCACACAGGAAGTGGCTAAGAAGTAGCAGGAACTCAAATATTAGAGTGAGTTCCAGTGAAATGATGTTCGGGTGTAACTAAACAGGAAATTGTATGACACCACATGCTGCAACATATGTCCTGTGAATTGCTTTAACCGCAAGATTTTCCACCAAAGAAGAAGAAAGAACATGAAAAGTAGGAAATACTAAGAACTCCATCACTGCGACGCCTGACACAGACAACCGGCTTTCTCAGATTCGAAGACGCAGCATGGAAACTGCATATTTCCTGTTTTTTCTACACCTTTCCTTGAAGGGATACTGTGAAGCAAATCATCAAACAAACAAATCAGGTATTTATCATAATACAAATTGTAAATCATACATTACAGCAGAAGTGTTTTAAAATGTTGTATTTTTTTTAGAGGAAGTGTGAAGAGTGACCATTTTAGATTGAAATATGACAACAACACGACTCATCTGTGTGTCCAGATCTTCAGAAGCACTACAAAGCTGCGGAGGGACAAAACTTTACGATGCCATACTGTAACTGTTCAAAGATGGTGGATATGAAGAGTACAAGTTCCAGTGCTGAAGGAGGAGGAAATGAAGAGCAATTCCTAGACTGTGGAAAGCTGTTTATAGCTGAAGCTAAGCATTCTGGAAATTATTCATGTTTCACAAAGTAAATAATGCTAAGTTCAAGTACTGATATGTTGTATACAGTGATATATTGTTCCTATTTTAGGTATGTTTAAAGACACTGCACCCCGGAACGGTTTTTTGTTTTTTGCTGCTGTAATTGTTTCTCTTGCCCATAGAGACCCTAACGAGGACTCAGATAAAAATAGCACAAAATGCCAAATGTTACTAAAAATCACTGTTTAATCAAGGAATCCCTTCCCTGACCCACCAGGGCATGGATTCCTCTAAACCCCTGAAGGTGGGTTGTGGTATCTGGCAGTGTTGTCTGACATTTGGTTTATTTTACTAACTCTGTCTTTATTTTAAGTCATAATTTAGAAATCTAAACTATGACTCCCTCTGAGTGGATCACACTGCAAATCATCCCACCTTTCTGCAAAACATAATTAATGGATCTTGTCTTGTCATTCTCTTTTTAGTCACAGTCTTTATATAAGTCCTGTAAGTTATGAGGTAAGGCCTACAATGATTGGACTGTTTTTTTCAAGCACATCCCACAGATGGGTGTACATGGTCTGCAACACTGCTTAGTTGGGTGGTACGTGTCAAAATAACATCCACATGGATGACAGGATCCAATGTTTCCCAGCAAAACATATCCAAATGCATCACACTGCCTCTGTTGACTCGACTTCTTCCGACCAGGACCCTGTCGCTGGTTTTACCAGTGATTCCACACGAGCTGCAGGTTGGGAGATGCTCTAACCCAGTCGTCTAGCCATCACACTTTGGCTCTTGCCAGACTCACTCAAATCCTTACTCTTGACCATTTTTCCTGCTTTTAACATCAATTTTGAGGACAAACTGTTGCTCCCTAACATATCCCACCCACTAACAGATGAAGTGATAATCAGTGTTATTCACTTTTCCTGTCAGTGGTCATCTTATGTCAGATTGAAGTTTATTAGCATAGAAAGATGTCTGTGGGTTTCACCCTCATCATTTTCACCGTAGGTGTTTCAGAAAGACACCTCTTCTCAGCCAGTAACAGATATACACATGAGAATGCGAAACCTGTTTTCACTTTAAAAGTGTCAAAGTGTGAATCACACCTCTGAGATGTTTAAATGTTATCATTAGTCAATGAAACTTCACAGTTATAGTACCTTTCACAAATCTGAATGCGGCCCAGTTCATTGAGTGCAGTAATTTAATCAAAACTTGTTTAAAACCTTTTTTTAAATCTATCTTCAAATGCAAAATAAATTGTTTTCAATGAGTGTAAATGACTTGCTGCTTCACAAATTTCTGTTACATGTTCGTGTCGCTGCTATCCAGTGGCAACAAGCTGTTCTTCCGTCTGCAAGTGGAGAAAATGAGATGCCTTTGGCGTAATGAAAGCATTAAAATCCTGGTTGTGTGTGCTGGTGGTCAAATCTCCTGCCCAGGCTTCGGCTGTAGTAACAACACAAATGTCACTTGGTACAAGGTGAGTTCCATACAAGATAGTAGTAACCACTTCACAATCTAAACATTGAAATCACAGCAAAACAAGTGTGCTTTCTTACAGAATAAAAAGAAGGTTTCAGACCAACACAGGCCGTCCCGGGAAGTCAGAGAGGTGTTATATCTCGAACCAGTCCATGAAAAGGATGATGGAGTATTTTTCTGTCACACACAAATAATTGAGGGAGGAGTGACATGGACTTTGAGGACGGGTGTTGAGGTCATAGTTATACGTAAGTGCTGTCTTCATGTTCTCATATGTATGTGTATTTTTGTTTTCTTATATGATCAAGATATTATCACTATGGTTAAAAGTTCATGATTATATACAGGGAGTGCAGAATTATTAGGCAAATGAGTATTTTGTCCACATCATCCTCTTCATGCATGTTGTCTTACTCCAAGCGGTATAGGCGCGAAAGCCTACTACCAATTAAGCATATTAGGTGATGTGCATCTCTGTAATGAGAAGGGGTGTGGTCTAATGACATCAACACCCTATATCAGGTGTG